AAAAGGTTTAAGGCTAGTAATTATTTTAAATATTTTCCTAAAATAAGACTTATTGTATTCATTAGATGATTTATATTTAAAATCAGTGAGAAGCTTTTACTCAAACTGTCCAAATTGTGGTATTTAATTTATCTTCTTCCCCTTCAAAGAACATGGAATAAACTGTGTCAAATTGCATCAGACAAGTAAAGGTTGTTGTTTAGCCTTTGTCAGCTATCAAATGTTTTCTATTTAATGCTTTCCCTATTTAAAATAATCATATTATAAACCTATCTTTAGTATTTCATTTATCTGTAGAATTTTTTAAAAAAATTTAGATGGTTTTGTACAATAATAATACTTTTTCATTTATGTTTATTCTTTAATTGAGATCTACTTTGAAATTCAATTTTGAGCTTATAAGTGTCTAATTCAAATCTTGATTCAAAGACAGTCATTGATCTTTTTATTTACAATTTTAAGTATGTTATCTTATTTACTTGTGTAGGTCCAAACTTTGATGCTTTAAATATAGAATTTACTAGAACTGAATCTAATGTTGATAAGTACATTGTAACAATTGTTTGTATTAAGTAAAAGTATTTGTAGTATCCCATATGACTGAAACTGAAACTTTGCAGAGTGATATTTTCATGCTGAACTGTTGGCATGAGTACTGTATTTTCTGCAGATACAGCTTCAGCTTCCTGTGTTTGCTTTTGTGTTGTGGTAAACTGGGAAGTGCAAGTGAGATTTAAGTGAGATCTGTGTTTAAAAGCTGACTGTGAGAGGCCCAGCAGGCTACTTGTTACTGCTGACTTCAGTACAAACAACAGTGCAAGTGTTGGGAGGTTGTGTGATTGAACAAGAATGCTTTCTTATCTTATTTTGATAAGAAAGAGTAGCAGTGTGGCCAACTGTGATCTTCCCTGAGCTCCAAAGCAAGCCCAGAATAAAGGGCTGAAATATTCGTTCTTTCAGATGAACCAAGATAAATTTACCTAGAAAAATAAACTCAGTATTTTAGTTAATTTGCCATGAATTTTTTATTTTACAATTGGACTAAGGAAGTGTAGGAAAATAGTTAAACATTACAATTGTGGGTCTAGTTTTCATTATAGATTTGCTTAATAAAGATAGAAATTAATGCAGAAACATGTTTAACAATATTACAGCAAATGTTATAAATCCAAAAAAAAATTTGAAACTTCATGACAGAGTAGCATAAAAGTTTTTCTCAGGAGTTCTTACTAAGATGGAAGCCACAGTTCTCAGTATTCTTATCAAAATACTTAGTTTTGTTAAAAAAAAAAAATGGATTAAATGCTATTTTCTCTGCACCATTTTTTTCATGGACTGTGAAGTTTGTTGGAGGATTTGATTAGAAATGTTTTTGTTCTAAAAACTGTTTAAAAAGGCATAATAGCCAAATTGGGGCTTTACTTTGGTTTATTTTTTACTGATTTAACTTTGTAAAAAGCATCTGCTCGACTATCAATGCAGATGCTGAGACTTATGGGCAACCTTTGGGCAGAGTGCAGGGAATCTTAGGAAAGAAGTGGGAAACAGTAAGATCTGGAGAGGACAGGAACTCCACAAGGAGAGCAACAGACTCAAAAAATCTGAGCACAGGGGTCTTTCCTGAGACTGATACTCCAACCAAGGACCATGCATGGAGATAACCTAATACCCTTGCACAGATGTAGCCCATGGCAGTTCAGTATCCAAGTGGGTTCCATTGTAATAGGAACAGGGACTATCTCTGACATGAGTTGATTGGCCTGCTCTTTAATTAGCCCCCCTGAGGGGGAAGCAGCATTACCAGGCCACAGAAGAAGGCAATGCAGCCACTCCTGATGAGACCTAACTGACTAGGATCAGAAGGAAGGAAAAGAAGACTTTCCCTACCAGTGGACTTGCAGAGGGGTGTGCATGCAGATGATGGAGGAAGGAAGGGACTGGGATGGGAGGAGGGAGGGAATCACGGGGGGAGGGGGAAGCAAAGTGAATAAAGTGTAATTAATAAAGAATTTAAAAAAAAAAGAAAACCAGTATGAGGTAAGAAGGGCATAAAATAAATCCTCAAGAAAATATCAGGATGCTATATTCTTAAATGTGAAGCTAAACATGAAAACAAAATAACAGACATCACCTTTATTTTTCTAAACTATGTCAATAAAAAACAAGATTCCTTAACCAATTGCTCAAAAAAAAAAAAAAAAAAAAAAAGCATCGGCTCGGGAAATAGTTTATGCTTTTTATTAGATCTTATATTAGACAGATAACTCCCCCCAAAATTTTTTTTCTGTAGCTTAAGTTCTATAATTGCAACTATGATAGATTTAGGGTCTCCTTATTTTATAGAAATATGAAAAAACCACACAGCTTTTGGTTATATTTGAGACAATGAGCTGACTACTAATTTCTGTCAGTAAATCCAGGACACTAGTTCCTTTGCTTGGTCACACCCCCCTTGTGAGCTCTTATAGCAACAGTTGTCACTCTGCAGTAGTCTTTCACATTTGCTCTTGGCTCCTTCTGCGTTTTCACTGAAGGCTCTTTTAAGCAAAAGAGGAGAGGACAAGGTAAATGCTTCTGTAGCAACTTCTAATCATCTGGTCAGGCTTAGGAGTATGCAAGATAGAGGGTGACTGATTTCTGGCTCCTTGTGTAGGCAGCTTTACTCAGAACTTTCTCTCAGGTGATTAGTGGCTTCTGCTCTGGCTATCTACCAATAGAAACTAACACACTGGGCACTACGGCATGCCTTCTCAACATTCTAAGAGACATTTTGCTCTTGCATAATTACATAGCCTAGGAAATTAAGCATTTTATTTGAGACATTTAAATCAGCAGGGAACCATGAGAAATTAAGGATGTGTGGAAGGACTGGTATCCCACAAGACACCCCAAGACCAATTTCTCAGCACAAAAGAAATTGATTTGCCCCAGAGGGATAAATGCCCAGAATAAGAGACAAAGGCAAGACTATGGAGAAGGGGAAGAGAATAAGGGAGAAAAGGGGCAACAGAAAAGGGTAAGAGATATTTGTTCCAGAGGGGCAGAGGACTGCCTCTGGGTAGAGAGGAGACAGATGTGTCCCACAGGCAAATGGCAGTTTATAAAGGTAAAAGAGAAAATTTTGATTGGGCATGTTAACTAGGACAGCCAAAAGGGGGCTTCTCCTTGCTGAACTTAAATGTTTTGATAGTTGGACCTTGGTTGTCAGACTCAAGAGGAGGAAGTGGCCAAATAAGAGAATAGAGACCTTGCTAACTAGCTTTAAAAGTTTTTGGCAAGATAGAGGAAAGTCGGTAAAAGGCAATGTCTGTCTGCAATGTCTGCCAGGCTTGGGCCTCTTTACTGTATGCAAATGAATATATATGTCACATTGGAGATATGATAGAATGAGAAAATCAAGAGGAAATGTGGTGGCACTGTTTTTAAACTCTTCTTTATTTGGGGTTCCTTAGTACCTCTAGCTCCCTTCCAAGCCCTGGACCCTAGGTAGGAGAGAAAGAAGGTTAGGAGGGCAGGGAACATAGACCTCTTAAGACGTAGTTCCAGCTGGTTAGGGTCATTGGGTTCTTTGAGGAAAATATCAACCTTAGTCATCAGGATATCTAGTAGTTCTGCAAACGAGAAGCAGCAGCCGTCCTCCTCCTCCATCTGTTGTCTTCTTTAAGCCCCTCACTGGGTTCTTGTATTTATGCCCTAAGAGTCCTCAGAATTCCACTGTCTGCAGCTGGCAAAGATCACGTGCCACCGCATGGGCCTGTTATCACCTCTGAATAAACTAAGGCAGTCCCATATCCCACACTTAACGATTAAAACAAAAACCTGTTTACATAACATAACTCAGTTTTTAAAGAAACCAAAATTTCCAATACAGGAACGAGCACGTGCAGGTTCTTTAGGATTGGTGTAGCTTGTTGTTAATAATTAACCTCCACTTATAAGTCTTTACTATGTAGAAATACTTCCTCTACATTCATGCTCTTATTTATTCTAGATTCTAAGCATTAGGTATCATAAAAACTAATTTACAAAGGAGGTAATGGGCTCTGGAAGGTAGAATTGTTATATAAAATCACATGAGTGGTATATAAAGTGTTTATCATACTGCCTTCTAGACTCAACCTAATTAAGTAGATATAGATATTATGCATGTGTACAAAAGGATCCTCTCAAGTAAACATGCTTTATTTGATCTGTTTCTGTCCAGATTTTATATGTACAGCTCTGTCTCTAACAGCATGTTTTCCTGCATCTGAGACTGGAACTATGCAACTCCAGTTTAACTTCAAACAAAAGGATTTATTTTGCTTTAGGTTACTAAAAGCTTTTGAAAACAACAACAAAATACCCCAAGCAAACAAACACCAAAGTTTTCACAGCAAGTTTGCAAGCACAGAATTTAGGATCTTACTCATACCCAATTTCACTTATACCCTAGAAATTGAATAAGTTCATACTTTATTCCTCTAGATTTGTCATACAAATGTTTCCCAAGAGAAACATTTTCTTGATTGTTAAACTATGCATTTCACTTTGTTACATTTAAAAATTTTTCATTCATACTCTGTGTCAAAGACACATTTCTCCTGTAAATGCCTTAAGCCTTGTGGCCCACAGCTTCTCTGTAGCAGCCAATAATCTCCATCAAAAAGCGGAAACAGTAAATACTGATTTTGACTGTGTATTATATAAAATGTATTCCTAGACAGCTGGCTGTAGTCCTTGGCTATTTGTAGATCCTTGCTCTGGGAAGGAGGCAACCATTGGCATGATCCCCATATACTTTTAGAAAAAGCTGGAATGCCATACATCTACACTATGTAATATAAGTTTATAATGCTTAGCTTTGTGTGTTAGCAGTAGCATTTTATATGATCAGAATGTAAATATGGAAAAGTTAAAATAATTATTTCAAATTATAAATTTTATTTTACTTATTTTGGGTTGAATATCAACATTTGATGGTTTTTGTTTTGTTTGTTTGTTTGTTTTTTCCTCACCACAGGGAGATTCTATTCAAGCTGGTGATGATTCACCATTCTCAGATTCTGTTACCCTGGAGCAAACTACTAGTAACATTGGTGGGTCCAGTGGCCGTGTTAGTCTGTGGATGCAGTGGGTACTCCCCAAAGTTTCTGTAAAGCTCTTTGCTCCAGACCTTGAGAACAAAGACACAGGTATACTTTTCTTCTTTACTGCAGAGATAAAATTTTTTACTGCTTTTAGAAGAAATATTAAGTATAATTTTCTTCAGTGTTATCATTTGTAACTTAACTCTTACTCAAGTGTTTTGAACATTGAATCTCATCACTATATAAAATTTAAGTGTACATGTTTTCTTTGATTTCATAAAATCTAATTTTGCTTGTTGATAATTAAAATTCATCCCAGTAGCTATGAATGACTTACTGTCTGAGCATAGCAGTGTCAATATTTAGAGATCCTTGTCTGGTAACAGATTCTTCTATTGAAATAACTCTGTTTTTTCTTAACTCGAGATAGATATATGCCTTCTCTTAACATTAAGGCCCCTTTGACACTAATGTTGCTTATAAGTGTAGAGGTTTGTGTACTCTTAATGCTCTTCAGATGGTCAGGATATGTTAGCCATTGTGGCATACAAGACTGGTAATTTTGATGTTGATTATGAGGGACTCTTGATAATGATGCGTGTTTTCTTTTGCAGAGGTTTGCATGGTCAGTGAACTAGAAGATCTCAGTGCATCCATAGATGTACAGGATGTGTACACCAAAGTGAAATGTAAGATAGAGAGCTTCAATATTGACCACTATCAAAGCAGGTACATAATGAGTAGCAAAGAAAGAAAGCTGTGATTTCTTAGAGCAAGTCACCATAAGGATGTTTTTGTTTTACAATTATTATTACTCTCAAAGGGAATGCTTAACAGTTGAAGTTGTTGTCTTAGTATTATTTATTTCGTATTCAATAAAATTTTATAACGTGGCATATAGCTCTTCATAAATAACCACAGTACTGCTCTTAAAAATAGCCCACAAGTGTATGCCATGTGTTATAGATTTGCTAAAGTGCCTAGGACACAATTGACGTGTCTGGTTGTTGCTTAGTAGTGTACACTGAGGTGGAACATCTGCTTATGCCCTTAACACTTAGGAGATTTCTTTTTTACTGTAGATCATAAAAGTATCATTGATAGACCTAAAACCACTTTATTTCCTGTGTAGTCTCTCTGTGTAAAAAGTAAGATTTATGAAAATATTGTTTATAATATATATTCTTAATGTCTTAATAATTTTGCCATTAATGTTTCCTAAATCTATGTCTTCCTTGTATGGCTTTATAATATAGTTGAGTGTTTTATTATTAATTTAAATATAACACAAATACTTTAAAATCTAACAATGCTATTAAAATATTTTAAATAGTATTATATTTTTAGTTTTGCAGTAATTTCTCTTAGAAATAGTCTTAAAACATTTTATTAATAGATTCATAATATTCATTAGTTCAGTAGTTTTTAATATGTAGGTGTAGATGACTAGTGTATGTTTGTACATATATTGCTCTATTATTCCCTAAAATATTTCTGCAAACATATTTGTAGTTCTGTTTCTATATTTTTCTATTCTCAAATGTCATACTGCTATATCAATAAGTACACATCTATAATAAATAGCTGAAATTGTCATTGTAAAATTTAAAATATTTCAGTTGCTTTATATAACAACTGTTATGTTATATAACAAATATAACAAAGTAGTAGAACTTGTTATATTATCTTAATAATCAGGTGGAAATTACTTTCATGTACTAACAATGAATTGTTAATTAGCATTTGATGTTTTTTAAATTTCTTTCCAGTGCAGTATATTTAAAACGAAGTGATTTTTTTGTGTAATATATCAGTACAAACACTGAAGTAATTTCTGATATGAATATTATATACTATAGTTTATCCTTAGCTTCACTCTTATATTTATGTAAATTTTAAATTTTACCTAACTTATCATCATAATGATATGCTTATTAATATGTTTTATAACCTTTATGGACCCTCTCATCTATGGAAGAGGCAAAAATTGATAAAAAGAAAATGAGTTATTCTGTCAGTAGGAGAAATGCTCCCGTACAGAGCCAGTGGCTTGCTGCTCTGGCGTAAGTGGTTGCAGGCTGCATTGGTCCATCTGTGCTGTAGTATATACCGTGTAAAGTGCTTTACTTTACAACCGTTAACGAAAGTATTGTGTGATCATTTTTTTTTTTTTTTTTTTTGCGAAAATCTGAAGAGAACAGATAAGGTGAGCTTATGTTTTCCAGGCCAGGGGAAGGTTGGCAGTCAGGACATTTTGAAGGAGTATTTCTGCAGTGCAAAGAAAAACCTGTGGTGAGACTCATTTATTAATTTTGATTTTTGACAATATTTTTTATATTGTTTGTTTTACTTTGCAATAGAAATAATGATATTAAGAATTAAAACTCAGAATACATTCTTTTAGATTTCTTCCTCTAAAATTATGTTAAAAGGCAAAGTTGCTTATTCTTTTAATCTGCTCATGTTTTGTAACCATATTCCTTTGTAGCAATTAAATAAATGTATCAAAAGGCAATGGTACAATTGTATCACATTTATTACTATACTTTATCATTTATGAATTGCTGTGCTGACTTTTTGGAAGATTTTCCTTTGGCAAATAAGTTCATGATGGTTAGCCATTACTAGAAACTTGAAGTAATAATTGTTTACAGAGAACAATTGTTTTCTTATATTTTTTAAATTTGCCTCCACTAGCAATGATTTTGCAGAAGAAAGTACATACAGAGGTCATATTGAGGAATGGCTCTTATCTGAACCTGTGTATACTTGAGCAGAACTAAAAATCTTTCCAGCTCCCCCGTTTCTCCTCCTCCCCGCTCCCTCTTTCTGTCTCCGACCCCCACATACATGTGTGTGTGCTTACTGCCTTTTTTTTTTTTTAATGTCTTTTCACCTTCCTGGCACCTATCATCTCAGGTCTTGAGGAAGAGTTTTGCTCTTGGGGACACTGTGGATGTCTTCCTTTCCTGCGCTCAAAGGCTGAAGAGTGTACCTTGTTGGTCTGACCCTCAGTTATCAGGGCACTCTCAAGAATTGTTCCGCCTTCCCTCCTTCTGTAAAAATTCACTTTAAAGACATATGTCAGAATTCCTATGACAAGTACCCAGTGAAGGCACTGAACTGTCTGAACACTCAACTCTTGATTTTCATTTTCGTCAATCAAATTTACTTTATAAGTGAATTATAATGTATTTTTGTATCACAAATTGGCTGTTATCTGTACATGTTAATGCTAGCCTTAGTTTGTGAATAAGAATTCATATTGCCATCAATATAAGAAAAATCCAGTTAAGTTATTAAGTAAAATGGCTTTCTAGTTGTGTTGAAAGGTTAGGAGCTGACCTTTCAATGACAGCATTTGTCATTCCTGGTTTACTTCTCAGACTGCTTTTTGTTTCGTTCTGCTTTGTTCTGTTATGCAGTTGTCATCATCTTACAGCTAGTTGGAAGTATTTTATTTACTACTGTCTTGAATCAAGTCAAGTTTGTACTTCTTTTGTTTTCCTGGGTACAGAACGAAGTTAGGCTGCATCCTAGTAACTTTCAGATGTATCAAATGTATATTTTTGAATAGTACAACATATGTAAATATGTTATTAGACTCATTCTTTTAAGTGACATTCTTAAAGTTAATAAAGTTCATGAAAATTTAAAAACTAGATGATGTTTAGTCTACTAAGTCACTACAAACATTAGTGTTTTATCAGTGTGTGTAAAATACTTCCTACTTCTTATGTAAAGCAAAAAAAAAAGGCAAAGATGTTATCTTTATAAAGTGTTTCCTATGGTTTTTCCTTTTACATGGAAAGCTGGCTAATTTATTTGCATGATAGCAATGCTTCTTTTCACTTGATTTTTAACTTTTTCTAAGAGTTTCTTTAGTACTAGAAACATGAGTCTGAGGTGTGGGGTTTGTGTCAGTAAAAGCTGCTCGGATTTCTTGTTGTTCATCTTCATTCTCATTAGTACATAAGAGGAGGCATTCTTAGGCAGCAGGTGACTGTCACTGAGCTCCAAGAAACATTCTTAATCAGTTCAAATGTCTTCAGACAACCCCACAAATTTTACTGTGAATCGTTTAAATTTTTTGACATTTTTTTCTTTCTACATTTAAAAACATGAATTGCCCTAGAGTAGGGCTGGGGCTCCGAGAGGGACTGCAAGCTGCGTGAGGGCCTTGAGCTGCTCAGTGTCGCCCACCAGTTACTTCTAAGAACGTTTCCTAATTATTTGTCATCTCCAGTTATTTATTTAACATTTTTCTCATTTAAATTTTAAATAAAATGCTGATTTTTACCATATGAAAATATAAAAGAAAATATTTTACCTCAGTTTTGGCTGAGTATATTTATTCTCCTTAGTTAACACTGGTATGGCAGCTTAAGAAAGTGAAACCCTTTCCCTTATGTACTTACCCTTCAAGAGTGTTTATACATTCAACATGTTTCACAGATTTTTTAGCATTCATATATTGAAATACCTTTTATATTCTTCCCAGGGTTGAAGTAAAAGCTTACTGTGAACTGGATTACTTAGATTAGTGTAGTGTTCTCCTCAGAATACAGCTTGGAGATCTAGAAATGGAGCATTGCCCTTTCTGTCTGTTTTGCCTGTTGTCCAGCAGCATAGGGATCAAAGTGCAGTGCTTTTCTAGCTTTACTGTGTGTCTGTTTGTTTCCAGTATTGAAAGAAAATACAAGGGAGGCATACAGTCAATACAGAGAAGTTTGGAAGGGTTAAAATGCATTGAAGGCAGACTACTAGGGGAAAATACTATTTCAGCACAAAATGAATACTTTCTATGTTTTTTCCAGTGGTCAAATAATGTACTTTAAAAATGCATACAAAGTTTTTTCACCTTGCCTCAAATCTAGCAGGCAATTGAGCTTAGAAGTAGAGCACTTACATAGCATGTGTAAGATGCTGAGTTCAATGTCCCCCTCTCCCTGCCTCGCATGGTTGTGCACATAAATACACTCACACCCTAGGTGTGATGGGATCACGCCTAGAGACCATTGCTTATTGCTTCTCACTTTGTCCTATTCATCTACTGTGCTCCTTTCCTTTTCTTCTTCTCTAGTTCAGTTTTTCTATAAACATCCATCCATCTACCCTAATATCTAAAAGGAGGAGGAGGACAAGGGGGAAAAAAATCTTCTCAGCTATTAGAAAGAGGTGTTGGGAATAATCCAGTTAATTTTATGTTAAGTAATGTGTAAGATACGATTTTATGTACCAGTAATTGATTAAGGGAAAAAGTTTCCTCAGGAAATTCTTAATTTTCTGGTCAGTAGTCTGATAACTGTGGAAGCTTTTAACCTCTCCATAAAATTAACCATCCCCTTGTTTATTAAGAAGTGTAAGATGACCAACACAAAAAGGTCAAAATACTAATTTTTTTCTCTCTCTCATGATCATATTTTCCTTTTTAAAAAATAATGTGTATTCTGCTTTCCTTTTCTGGAACAGACAACTACAAAACTTCTAGATGGTACTTATCAGCAGCATGGATTTCTTTCTCTGACATACACAAAAGCTGTAACAAAAAATGTCCGCCACAAGTTAACCTCAAGAAATGAGCGAAGAAGTTTTCATAAGCTATCTGAAGGTTTAATGGATGGCTCACCTCATTTTCTTCATGAAATTCTTCTTTCTGCACAAGCATTTGATATTGTACTTTGCTTTCCTTTACTTAATGCTATTGCAAGCATATTTCAAACTAAACTCCCAAAGACCCAAAGAGAGAAAAGAAAATCTTCTGGTCAACCCATGAGGACCCATACCTTGACTTCACGCAATTTACCTTTGATTTATATCAATACAAGTGTGATCAGAATCTTTGTTCCCCAAACAGAAGAAACACAGTTAACTGCTGAAGGTATGTTTTTCTGTTTTTTTTTTTTCCCCCATGTGTGTGGAACTTGGAGATGGGTGGGTAGGGGGGTTGGATTAAATAATTATATCTGTGAGACATGGGCAGAAGACGTATTAATATTTGGACAGAAGTCTTATTTACATTTTTGCTTTTTTTTTTTTATAGGATTTACTAACTATCTATAACCCTATTAATTTAGCAGAATGAGAAATCTGAGGAAAAAATAGCTTATTTTTCCTCTGCAGCATTTGCTTTCTGTCTGGAATTCTAATTCTGTATTCAGTTAGTATCCCAAGATATCTAAATTTTTGTTAAAGAACAAAATAATGTTCATAATGATGAAATTTATGAAAGTTCTGTCATAAATACCCAACAACTGAGGGTAGAAAAAAAACTTGTCAACAGACCAACATGGCTTCTCCAGGCTTCCTAGCGCCTCCTGGAAATCCAGCCTTGGCTTGTATTAAATTAATAATCCTGCTTTCCTCACAAGTAATTTCAACATTTTGTTTCCTCTGTTGTGTTAAAAATGGGGTGGGGTGATTTAGGCATTTTTACTGACATTATAGCTTAGTTGTTAATGGTATGAGTTTTGAGAGTATACATACTGAATTAAAAATCCCATTTTTCTACTTACAGTTTGAAATCTTGTTTATATTCAACCAAATTCTTCTGAGTAAGATGGTACTAGTACTTTGTTTGATTGCAGGTTGTAGTGATAGCATATGGCTTCCTGAGACTCTTTTTTTTTTTTTTAGTGCTAGATGCTTTCAAATAATAACAGTAGTCGACAACACATACAGTTGCAGTTCCATAATAAATTGTAATTTAATAGAACCATATGCCCTTCCTGTTAATGCAGAACCCTGCACGCCTTACATCTTACTTACTAGTACAAGTATATCTGGCCAAATTTGATACTTGTAGTTCAGAGCTGCAGAATAGGCTGGATTGTGATTTTTCTCTCTCTATTCCTGTGGCGACAGTTCTCTTAAACTGAGAGTTAGTAAATAACAGAAATTTATCTGTTACACTCTGGGTGTTTTCTAGCTGGTTCTCTGCATTGTCAGGGCTGTTTCTGCTTGTAGGGTAGCACCACATTGCCGGAACCTCACAAAACAAAAACCAAAAAACAAGAAAGGACAAACTCATTGACCAAAAATGGAATGGAATGCTTGTGACTGAATTACTTTCTAGAGTAATTCTTAACCCACTTCTTAACCCCATCTTCTTGATTTTAACTCCAACATAAGCACTTTTGGAGGAACTCGATTTCAACCCACAGTAACTACCCTACTAATCACTGTAGTATTGTGAACTCAAGAGAAAAGAAAAAAAGGGATTATTTGAAATACAGGTCATAGCCTATGCTACATAGAAATACAAGCAATCTACATTTAGAATGCACAGGAATTAAAAAGAACAGCTGACTCTTCTTAGCAAGTGATGTGTGACCACTTTTAACCAGAGAAAGAAAAGCTGCATAGTCCTTGCAGATACAATGACCTTTATGCATTTGCCTGGTTACTGTCTTTAGTTAGATGACTAGCTAATGAATATTAGATAAATAATTTACAGTAAGTTTACAGAAGTAAAAAGAAGAAGCTACATTTTTTACAGAAGATAATTCCATAAGGGCTGAATTTGCAAGTTAGGTTACGGTTTTCTCATGAGCATGATAGAGATGACTGACATGAAAGACCACTTAGATTAGCAAACCATCCTTTTCACCATTTTTTTTTTTTACTTAACATGTATTTATGAAGAGAGGGGAGCATGCCACATGGGCATGTGGATGTCAGAGGACAATCTGGCAGTGTCAGCTCTCCTCCTAGGTACAAAGAATCAAATTCAGAGCATCAGATTTGGCAGCAAGAACTCTTATCCATTGAGCTAGTGCTCTTATTTAATTTAAAATAAGTTATGTTAATAAGTTTTTTTACATCACAAAGATTCTTTGCAGATTATGTTTTATGTTCTCTATTCTGCAACTATCTAATCTCAATTGAATCTAAATTGGTAAAACCAAATTTCATTCAAGCACAAGGCAAAAGGTGATAATGGAGATGAGAACTTGAGATGCAGAAGGAAATAAACACAGGTAGTGTGCTTGAAGGAGATAGTGAACAGCAAAAATAAGGAGTGAGTGAGGTCAAGCATCCTCCTGTGGGCCTTCTCAGCTTCTTTGGGTTGGTGGATTGTGGCATTGTATTGTTAACTTGCTAAGTTTAAAACTGTATCAAGACTATAAACACTGTCCGCAAGTTAATTCTCCTGAATGAATTAGTGTAAGATGGTACTTTAAAGACATATCATTCTGAGTGAAGTATCCCAAAAGGAGAAAGACAAACTTGGTATATACTCGCTTATATAGACCTACAAGATATGATAAACATAATGAAATCTACACACCTAAAGAAGATAATCAAGTAAGTGGACATGGGTGAAGATGATCAATCCTCATTTAGAAAGACAAATGGGATGTGCGTTGAACGTATGACAGGAGTCTACCGCAAAAGGCATCTGAAAGACTCTAACTAGCAGTGTTTCAAAGCAGACACTAAGACTCATAACCAAACCATGGCAGAGTGCAGGGAATCATATGAAAGAAGGGGAGTTAGTATGATATGGAAAGGATAGGAGCTCTACAAGTACCAAATATATCCAGGCACAGGGCCTTTTCTGAGACTGACACTCAACCAAGGACCATCTATGGATATAACCTAGAACTTCTGCTCGGATGTGGTCCGTGGTAGCTCAGTAACCAAGTAGTTTTCCAAAGTAAGGGGAACAAGGACTATTCTAACAGGATCTCAAGGGCAGGCTCTTTGACCTCCCCCCCCCCCCCAGGGGAGGAGCAGTCCTGTTAGGCCACAGAGGAGGACTTTGCAGCCAGCCTTGAAGATACCTGATAAAACAGGGTCAAATGAAAGGGGAGGAGGTCCTCCCCTATCAGTGGACTTGGAAAGGGGCAGGGAGGGAGTTGGGGAGGGGGAGGGAATGAGGGAGCGGGATACAGCTGGGATACAGAGTTAACAAATTGTAACTAAAAAGAAAAAAATAAAATAATAACAATAACAATAATAATAATAATAATAATAATAAAAGACATACATCCAAGCCATGCTTGTGGGTTGTGCCTGTAATCCCAGAAATCCTGAGCAGGGGCAATAGGATTGCTTCAAGTTCAAGGCCACACTCATCTGCAAAGTAAGTTTTCAACCAGCAAAGGCTCCAAAATTAGGCTCTGTTGTATGTGCACATGCATGCATGCGTGCATGCATGTTTGTTTATGTATGTACGCATGTGTTATATGTCTGTTAGTGATTTTACTGCTAAGTATTAATGACTTGACGTTGGTAAGTGGTCTCAATGAGTATGATATAATGAATGCAGAAACTCTTTCATGAAAGAACACAGAGTAATCTGCATTTGGAGTTCTCTGTGTACATCAGAGCAGTCTGAAATGACTTACAAACTAGATTTCCCTCACATTCGCACATACTGAAC